CTCTACTTTTATGTGACAGCAGCAGGAACACTGCGTTAGGTGCCAGCACTAGTCTCAGTTATGGCTCTGCCTCTGAGGACTGTGCAGTCTCAGAAGACCTTTGTTTCTTTTCCTCCACAGGGGGCCAAACAGCCTGTGTGGCCAAAGACTGTTATTAAAAGCAGAGGAAGTTATTAATTTATGATCTATAAAGTACTCTAAGAGACCACTAAGATTCACAGAGCAGAAGTCAGACTTGATTCAAAACTGGCCTTGTCATTTGTGAGTTATTGATCATGAGCAAGTTAATTTACTTCTCTCAACTTCATTTTCCTCATCCATAAAACAAAGACAGAAACAATGCTGACTTGATAGGGTTTTGTTAGGATTACAAAACATAATCCTTGTCGAGCACTTATCATAGTAGACCAGTGCATAGCACAGGCTTAAAAAAATGTTGAATGTAATTATTATTACTTAAAGCTAAGACATATTTTTGCTGCCAGGTGCCATAGGCCTTGTATGTCTATTATTCAGTCTGTACTCACTTTTAAGATGATCTGTTTATTCCCACCAGTATGCTTATGTCTTTTTTTTTTTTTTTAAATAAAATAAGAGTTAAATGAGTTCTTTGGCTTTTTTCTCTATTGTGCTATGTCCCTCCTTGGAGGGGTATTTAGTACTAATCTTTCACCATCAAGGGATGGGTGGAGAAAACAATCAGTTCACATAATGTATGTTACCAATTAATGCAGTAAATTCTGTTGTAATGTGAAATATACATTCCTAAAAATCCTGAAGCCATGTAAAGCCACTTAATTAAAACCACAGGGTCAAACTCTCTCAGTGAAACACAGTAAGTGGTAAGAATTTAATGAAGACCACAGTACAGTTTCACTTGTGTTAAATGGTTGAACAAGTTTTTTAAACTATAATAATGTGACACCTGACTTTGAAAACAATTGGAAGACTGTGTCTGGAATTAGGTGTCAAAGGTTGCAGTTTTGTAAGTTACTGGGAAGTGGTAAAGGGTTGGGTTGCCTGCAACTGGAATGGGAGATACAACCTGCAGTGTGGTTGGGTGTGGTCCATGATCTATGGAAGCAAGGTGGGTGGATGTCTACATTGTGTTCCTGTGCATTCTGCACCTATGTTAAGATTTTCCAAGTTCACCAACTTCGCACTTTCACACATAAGTGAAAGTGAAATCTGTATTATGCTTTAGCTGTTCACAGATGTCAATCATGTAGAAACACATTTCCATTTTCAAAACCAGCATTATGGCAGAACTAACTGTATTTATGCCCACACTATGAGCTTCTGAAAAACGTGCTGTGAGTCATACCTGGAGTCACTACCTAGAAAGCCTGTGCCACTCTTCAGCTTCCTACCAGCTGAAGTATTTACCTAGAGTTGTTCTTCCATCAGTACTGAGCTACCAAGCAACATGATCTAAAACACACTTCTTAAATGCAACTTTTCTTTCTCTTTTTTGGCAGTATTGGAGCTTGAACTCAGGGCCTTCACCTTGAGCCACTCTACCAGCCCTATTTTTGTGAAGGGTTTTTCGATATAGGGTCTTGCGGAACTATTTGCCTGGGCTGCCTTTGAACTGCAATCCTCCTGACCTCTGCCTCCTGAGTAGCTAGGATTACAAGCCTATCGGTGGTAATAGGATTTGAACTCAAAGCTTTGCATTCTACCACTTGAGTCACACCCCCATCCTTCCCCAGCCCTTTTTTGGCCTTAGCTTATTTTTTTAATAGGGTCTCTCACTTTTGCCCAAACAACCTTCAACTGTGCCACTACCTCCACCGCCCAAGTAGCTGGGATTACAGATGCATACCACCATACCCAGCTTAACTGCAATTTGATTGTTTCTTTAGCATTCATGCTAGGGATAGCTCTAATTCACAAAACCATGTTACATTTCCCCAAATGTCCACTCCAACAGAGAAGTAAAATGTCTGCAACTCAGTTCACTACCTCACAGCCATTTCATTCTACTTACTTACTTAAGTCACCAAATAGTTTCATTGAGCATCTACTGAACATAAGGCAACATGGCAGAAACAAGACAAAACTACCTCCAACCCATCAGAGTAAGAGACAGTGACTTAAATAATTTAGTCACTCATTTAAGCTCAGCCAATATTATAGGAGTAAAAAATAATATCCCTAAAAATAAAAGCACTATAAAAAATGCAGAAAGTACAAAACATACCTTCAATGTTGGTAGAGAGGACCAAGAAAAATTTAATAGTAGTGGTTAGTAAACTTAAGAATGAGGTAAATTTTGGTTTTGAAGGAAATTTTCTAATTGCAGTATGAGTAAAGAAAGGAGACAGGAAACAGAAGATACAATGCATAAAGAACAACATTTAAGCCACAGATGAAGCTACATGATTACAGATGATAAATTACATACTGAACAATGAATTTTATATCGTGAGAAAATTGTTCACTGACAGCTATTAGCCAGAAGAATGTGGCGTGGATTTAGAACAGGCAAAAGGGAGTCCAAGTGGCTTTCAGGACTCCAGGCTTTGAATAAATTAAGAGACTTCATTCACAAAGTCTTTGGAATGCCAGGCCAGAGCAGCAGGAAAAGACTTTCCCCAACCACAATCCCAGGCTTTGTGTCCACGATGGATATTGGTGGCTCTGGCTAAAGGATACTAACCCATGGCATTTAGCCTTGCAAATTAAATGAAACAGTGAACAAAAGAAAACTTACCTGAATAATGGGAGAAAGGGTTTTTTAGAAGCAGTGAAACAAAGCACAGACTACAACTGTTGTCACCAGACCTTTAAATCTGGTGCTAGGATTAGCAAAGTTAAATACTATTGCTCTGAATTACATCTGATGCAATGTATTTTTAATAATCAAAAAAAGGGACACCGATGTTCACCAAAGCTAAAACCTTCTTCCACCAGTGGTGCTACATGACACAAATCAAGCTTAAGAAACTTAGTCCATTCTATTCAGATCTTACATTATCAAGCAAAACACACAACAGTTCACAAATTGCTTTAGTATTTTAGAAAGTATATTGACAATTAAAATTACCACAAGTTTCTTTGATCAAATTCCCAAATCTAACTAATGCATTCTGTACACAAGACTCTATATAAAAAATCATGGATATTCACCAAAATAAGAGTAATTTTTTCAAATAGCTGAAAGGAGAATTCTTAAGACTACTGTATGTCAAATTGAGTAACTGGAAATATATGCATAAACCTAAACTATAAAATAAAAAAGAATTCTTAAATATTTAGTTCTTTAATTAAACTAGAAATATCCTGTAGTATTAAAAGACTGACTATTGACAATCTACTTTATTTTACCCCCTGTACAAACTTCTTATGCAGTTTAATTAACAACTTATAAAAGTCTAAAATATGACTTCTGTCATCTTAATCAAAGGCAAGACTTTCTCTCTACCTTAATGAATGGCTGACAAATTATGTCACTAAAACAAAAAAAAAAAAAAAGGAGACTTCTCTATACAATTTATTTTGGAATTAATAGAGAAATTAGACTAACCAGCGCTCTCTCTCTCTCTCTCTCTAGTCATTTCTTCTTACATAGAATTTATTTTAAATAAATTAAAGAACTGTTTCCAAGTTTGACTGCTGAAAAACTGAAGCCTCTTATAAACTACTCCAGGTATAGCATATACAAAGACGTCCTCCTAAAAGTGAGGGCAGCTGGGTCAAAGGACAAAATATTTTACATGTCGTTCTCAGAGAATATACAGTTTACTCCAAATGATACTGATATTTGCCTTAGAATTTGTCCAGTAAAACTGATCAAAACTTTTACAGCCAAGATTAAGACTAAATCAGGCCATGAACACCTCAAGGAACTTCACCTATTTATGTTGTCAAGAATAGCATATGATGTTTGATGTTCATCTGGGTAAAGTCTGTGTGAGCTGATAATGTTTCTTAAGCCACAAAATAGTCTTAAGAAATAACTGATACATTATAGGAAAATAAACACATACAAGGGTGTGTCTCAAAAAAGAACCAATAAGCCATAACCGGGACACTTAAACAAAAGAACACTCTACACTTCAAGCTCCAAGCCAGTGACTTGGACAGTTATTTGCTTTGGTTTTCTGTCTAGTATATTCAGATACATGGTAATCAGCTTATGACTGTTTTTAAAGAGCATCAATCTTGGCCTTGCATGTAATGAGTACTTACAGAACAATAAGAAAGCTTCCTTCTGCTTAAGAATAGTGTACAAATAAACTAAGAGCCACAAAAATGTGATATACAGAGACCTCTGCATATTAATAATCAGATGGGCTATCACTAAGCTCAAACTCAATACTTAAGATCATAATTACAAAGCTGGATTTTTGAAACAGTTTTTCCTTAAAAACTTCCATTAAGTGACTATTTACACATTTACAAGTTCCATTAATATACATGGACTTTAAAAATAACAAAAACATGTATTCAACTATATTTTAGACCCCAAGAAAAATGTTTATATAGAGATTTGGCAGTGTTAAATCTGTAGACACAAAGCCAATTACCTAAAAAGGTTAAATTTGGTTAATAAGCAAATTTTCATAGTATAAACAACACTGCATAAACCTTTCAAAATAGTTAATATTTATAGGATAAATCACAGTGTTTCACACATAAGATTAATTTTAAAGTAATTTTAAGAAAACTTGATATATTATGCCTGTACATTCCCAACTGTTAACAGTCAACACCTCTTCACAGGAAGATCAGTGGATAGATCCGTCTCTCAAATGCCATGACTCAAGGGAGGAAATCCTTTAAATCTCTATCTCTGGAGTGAGAAGGAAGGGCACTGAAGCACACCAATTTCACCAAGTTCAGAATCCACTTGGAATATCAAAAGGGAATTTTGAAAATTGCCAAAGGGACTAAAAATATTGCTACATGTTTCAAAGTCTACAAACACCTTCTCTAATAATTATGCCTTTGAGAGCCCTCCTTAGCAAAGAAAATATTCACAAACTCAAATTTACCTGCCCACACAATCCAGGCACAACTCCTCCAGGCGATCCTCAAGGCAAAAGTGAGAGGGCATTCCTCTGAGCTCACTTATGTGCCAAGTGACCTTTGGCACATCCCCAGAGAGGGTGGGACTCTAAGCTGCAGTTTCGGTATTGTACTATCCTGAACAAAGTTTCTCCCTTGGTTTCTCTAGGGCGTTAACTAAGACTTCCTCTCTTTTTAAGTATGTAAACATAACTACTGCTAAGAGCTTCCAACTCTTGCCTAAGGTGGTTTGAAATAAAAAAAAATAATTAATGGTATAAATAACAATGGTAGCATTGATTGAGAACTTACTATGTGCTTCATACTAATACCACACAGATCATTACTATGATTACTGCCTCATTAGAGAGGAAGAATCTGAGAAATAGTGTTAATAAGTAACAGGGGAACTGCAAATGCAGCAACACGGTGGTCAAAGGAGCTAACGAAGAAGACTCTGCACTGTGAACATTTGAAAAGATGAAAATAAGTCTAAGAATTTTTTTTTAAAAAAGCAATGGCCTCTGGAGATGAGCTTATAAATTACAAAATATGTGAAAAACTGATTTAGTGTGATTGAGCATTGGCAGATACACCAAACAGAAAATTCAATACTCATCTAATTTAACATTGACTTTTTTAAAAAAACATACTGAAATCATTAAAGATACAGAGGAAGAAAAAGAATAGCAAGAATAGAAAACAGTTATGTACAAAGAATAGAAAACTAAGCCTGGCTCAGGTGGCTCACATCTGTAATACTAGCTACTTGGGGGGCTGTGATGGTAAAGATCACAGTTTGAGACCACCTCAGGCAGAGAGTCTGCAAGACCCCACATCAACCCTTAGCTGGACACAATGGCACACGCCTGTCATTCCAGGCTATGTGGGAGGCTGAGTTTGGTTCCAGGCCAGCTCAGGCAAAAATGTTCATGAGCCCCCATCTCATCAGAAAAAAGCGGGGAATGGTGGTGCACACCTGTCATTCCGAACAGCAACGGTGGAAGCATAAATAGTAGGATTTTGATCCAGTCCAATCTGGGCAAAAAACAAGATCTTATCTCCAAAATAACCAGAAGAAAAAGAATTGGAGTCATGGCTCAGGCAGTAGAGCACATGCCTTGCCTTGCAAACAAGCACAATTTGTAGTGCAGTTCCAAAAAAAAGAAGAAAGAAGGAGGAGGAGGAGGAAAGAAGGAAAGAAAGAAAGAAACTGGAAAATTAGCTAGCTTTTACAAAAACTAATAGAATGTATTTGCATAAAGGTATGCTCACTTCTCTGCATAGAGCACCTAGTTTCCATCAGGTTTCTATAACTTAAAACAGGGAATAGCATCACTGTAGATGGAATTTTTTAAACTTTTTACCAAAGTAATAATCAATGTCACAGTTCAATTGTCTAGCAGAACCTACTGCGCTCCAACTCGGCTATTCTGTCACCTCTCAAGCTCCTGACCATCTTTTCTTCTCCTCATCTCTGGGAAGTTGTGACCCAGCCCCAGAGCCATTCATTACCACCTCCAGCAGCCTTGCAAAAAAGATGGGGTGGAAACTCATGAGCCACATTGATCCCCGTAGGACCAAGAGATGTGTACTGCTGCCAGTAGACAGCACTCAGAACAGCCTTGGCTGAAGATTGTCCTCACCCTTCTTCCTCTTCCTACTGATGATTTGTCAACTACCTAAAAGGCAGGTTGGCAGTGGAATATGAAGACCTAGGCTCCCCTTCTCAGCTGGGGAAAGTGGTGAAGAACCATCCCAGCTGTGGAGCTCCGCATGGGGTAAGGTCTTACTGGAGACTGCAAGGCAGCCTTACTGTCCCATCTGTGCAATACTAGCTCCTTCCTTTCCACAAGGATTGATGCCAAGAGTACTCTCTGATAAACTTCCCACACATTAATTATCCATTTCAAAGCTGGCCTCCTGAGGAACCATATCTGCAACAGAAGTGCATCAGGAAAAAAATAGCAGGGCACAGATACTCAAGGGAAAGGGAAGAGAAGAATGTTAATAGAAGTCAATGAGGAGAACAGCAGAAAGCACTAATATAATCTCTTTGGTGAGGAGATCAATGTTAAAAGTACAAGGGAAGGCCTTCAAAATGAATAATGTAATCCAAATGACCAACAGAATCATAAAATTTCAAGCCAACATTCCAAGGTATCCTGCACTTGAGATCAGACAGGGACCTGAGAGGGTATCCCAATTCCAACCACTGCCATTTTTAATATAATGTCTCATAGGGTCATGGGGGGTTGTTGGATATCAAAATGTGTTCTTGCCTGGAAATAGTTTCCTAATAATGAGTCAGTAAGTACAGTTAACATACTGTACTGAAAGTGACACAATATTCTCTTTCTCTCTCTTTCTCCCTCCTTCCCTCCCTCCCTCCCGCTCCCTCTCTGTTTCTCTCTGTCTCTCTCTCGCTCTCTCTTTCTCTGCTTCTGAATTATTAGTAAAGATGGAAATGAAGCTTTATGAAAGACTAATCTGATTCAGGCTGTTATAGGACTAATCATTGTGCAGAATACCAATTAAAAGACTGACTGCATTTACTGAAACCATGTACACTGATACATATGTACACCCAATGACATGGAGCAAATCTAGTGCATGGGTGTTTGTTGATTCTAAGATAAGCAGTTACTAGAAGTAGCCACATGAAATAGCCATGTATATAACACACACACACACACACACACGGAATGCAAAAGACTTGGTTACTTTTTTCTTTCTTTTGGAGGAGTTTGGAAACTGAATACACACATCTCTACTGGTAAATTTGCCCATCATTCCATACTTTGTAATCACACAGACACGATAAGATAGGTCATAGCAGAACCTGCCAACTGAGATCATCAGATCCCAAATGACATGAAGTCACTTACATAAGTGTTAGGACAGCCAAGCAGAATGGATTGACACTGTCACAATGCATTCATCTTGGAAGTACAGCAGAACCTCACTCTCAGCTCCTGGATAGCTAAGCCCCACTTCATTCTGTCATGTCTTCCTCTCCTAAGATTCACGGCTTTGTCTTCACAAAATCAACCTTTTTTCTCCTTCTAACTTTAAAATCTTTGTTGATGGGAGTACGAAACTAATGTACTAATAATAAGAGAGCATCTGGAAACAGGTTTCTAGGGAACAGTCTTGCTACATATTGTCAAATTTCAATTACATAAAGCTTTCTAAATCCATATGGGTAGGATGGCCAATCAAATGCTTTTATAATTTATCTAGAGAAAGGATAGGAGAAGTGATAAAATTTATATTTGGGAATAATCACATCCAACTGCTAATATACTACAAACATGCAGAAGAGCAAATATGGATGGTGTGGAAATAAGAAAAAGAATAAATTTGTTCACATAAAAAGATTAAATGAGTCACTGTGGGTTTGGAGTTACTCTTTGTTCATAGAACCATGGACTAAAAATGAAAAACACATATGTGTATACACATATAAATACATATATGCACTTCTTATGGTAAATATAAACAGCAAGACCAACACAATATATTCTCCATATAAGTTATTTGGAAGAACACAATTATAATTAAAATCTTCAAATCCACAAATGGTAAGAGTCTCTTTTAAGTAAGGGAAATGCTGATTTGAAAAGATAAAATGCAAATTTATATTACAAGGCATATAATGGCAATTTTCCTTTAAATTGGCCAAGATAAGGAATACACTCAGCGAAATACCATATAAACTTATTTAATTAAGCATTTTAAATGCCATCTTCAACCTGGGAATCACTGTCTAGCTCTAATAAAACAAGATCTTATTTGACAACTTTGATCAAAAATCCAACATTTTTTTTTCTGAACTAGTGAAAATAAAAAGAGGAATTTCTCATCCCCACTCATGTCCTATCCCCCCAAAACAGTGGTATAGCAAAAAGACCTCAACACCTGAAAACCAAAAGCTCCTGTTGAAGTACCAAGTCTGCCACTTAACAGCTCTGTAGCCTTCAGTAATTCAGGTGACCTCACCAGCCTTCATTTCCTCATAGGTAAAATGAGACTGGGCTCATTCAATATTCTAGAAGTCTTCCTAATTCAAATTTAAAAGGAGTAAATCTATGTAATTAGATTTTGGTAAAACACAGTAACTAGCAGTTTTACTCTTTAACATAAAATGGCAAATTTTCAGAAAAATGAAATAACCAAGTAATCAGAAATGAATGAGGAAAAATTATTACTTGTTATGAGGACATCTGTATATTTACCTCACAGATGATCAAATAATACTTTTTATCGATCCTTCCATTTCTGCCAAAAATTTCCATTTAAATAGGCTCTTGTGAAATATAACACATACAAAGAATTTTGGAAAGGCAAAGAAAATGAAGGCTTCTGGCATGTACTACCAATATTTCCCATTGTTACTATCTCACTTAAACTGTCCTCATGTCACCTGACACAGGGAGTAGCGGCATTCCAAGTAATTGTCTTGGTGAATAGCCAACAAAGGAATTGACAGAATGTTCCTTATAATGTAATTCTTTTAAACTTACAATGTCTTCCTCCAAACCTGTCCCTCCCATAAAGTTTCAACTCTTAAAAAAGAAAAAAAGAAAAAGGATGTGACTACTTTAGACGAATACTCTGGAGTTCTTAAGTGCCATTTGGCAAGCAAAAAGCTCTTCATACAGAAGTGTTGGTCCTTTTTCAACTTTGTGATAGTCAGGAAATTATCACATTGGCTAGCTAATGAGGCTTAACCTTAACCTTAGAACTAGGAAGGAAGGGAAGAGGAAGAAAGGGAAGGGCCAATCAGCAAATGCAAAAAAGAAATCCTGCATATGATAATAACAAATCATCCTAGTAAAAAACCAAGAGACATGCCCAGGTTTAACTAAAAAATATAGACCTACTGAAGTACTGCATATCAGTATTAGATTACCAAAATAATACAAAGCAGTTAGTCTTGAAAATTAAATCAGGAAGCATTACAATAAACACAATGAAATGCCTATTTTCAGAGTAGCAGTTCAGAAAAAGCTGTGACAATAGTTGCAAAGATGATATAACTTGTGTCATCCTTTGAAAATAAAACCTACAATTAAATCTGCACATCAAATGATCCTTGAAACTTGTCTGCTACCAGTAAGTAGGGACAACAAAGGAACCTTAAATCAAACAAGACAGGCCAGTGGCTCACAGAACCATAGTCACATAGAAGAGACATTATAGGGACACTTCAAACATGACCTGAAGCTGATTGTCACAATGAGACACTGATATTAGATTGCCAGAAAACACACTAGTTTTTAAAGTGGTTTAACTTCTCTGATTATCACTGGAGTAGAAATTTCCTAGGCAGAACTCAGTAATGTTCTTTGGCTGACTGGTTGGGCAAAATATTACAGATCACTTTCAAGTTTATTTTCAGTTGGTTCCCCAACCCAAATCCTAATCTCTGTTAGCGTGAAGATTGAAGACATTATAGTGATAATTCTAACACTAGTACCTAATCCTTTTGTATTCTCTACATAGGGCTATTGAAAATAGATTTAATA